AATTTAGATGATGAGTCTGAGGAAGATTTGAATGAAGATTTGAAAGAATATTTGGAGGAAGATTTGAAGAAAACTTTGGATGAAGGTTTGAAGAAAGATTTAGAGAAAAATGAGGAGAAAAATTTGTAGGAAGATTTGGAGGAAGATTTTTTCGAAAATTTTGAGGAAGATTTGAAGAAAGATTTGCAAAAAGACTTGGAGGAAGATTTGGGGAATGATTTGAAGGAAGATTTGAAGAAAGATTTGAAGGAAGATTTGAAGGAAGATTTGAAGAAGATTTGGAGGAAGATTTGGAGGAAGATTTTGAGGAAAATTTAGAGGAAGATTTTTGGAAAGATTTGGAGGAAGATTTGGAAGGATATTTGGAGAAAGATTTGGAGGAAGATTTTGAGGATGATTTTGAGAAAGATTTCAAGGAAGATTTGGAGGAAGATTTGGAGGAAGATTTAGATTAAGATTTAGAGGAAGATTTAGAGGAAGATTTGCAAGAAGGTTTGGAAGTAGATCTGGAGGAAGATTTGCAAGAAGATCTGGAGGAAGATTTAGAGGAAGCTTTGGAGGAATATTTGCAGAAAGATTTAGAAGAAGATTTAGAAGAAGATTTAGAAGAAGATTTGGAGGAAGATTTGGAGGAAGATTTGAATAAAGATTTGGAGGACGATTTGTAGGAAGATTTGGGGAAACATTTGGAGGAAGATTTGAAGCAAGTTCATATGAAAATCTGAGTAAAGATGTTAAGGAAGGTTTGGGGGAAGATTTGGAAAAAAATTTGGAGGAATATTTTGTAGAAAATTTGGAGGAAAAATTGGAGGAAGATTTGGAGGAGATTTGGAGGTAAATTTGGAGAAATATTTGGATGAACATTTGTAGGAATATTTTGGGAAAGATTTGGAGGAAGATTTGGAGGAAGATTTGGAAGAAGATTTGAAGAAAGTTCACAGGAAAATCTGAGTGAAGATGTTAAGGAAGGTTTGGGGGAAGATTTAAAGGAAGAGGAAGATTTGGAAGGATTTGGAGGAAAATTTTGAGGATGATTTGGAGGAAGATGTGGAGGAAGATTTGGAGGAAGATTTGGAAGAAGATTTGGAGGAAGATTTGGAGGAAGATTGGACAAAGGCCACAGGCAGATTTAGAGGATGCCCATAGGATGATCGGGAAGAATTTTACAGGTAGATCTGGAAGAAGTGCACATGAAGACCTGCAGAACTGGTAGAAGTTCCCAGAACCTCTGGTAGAAATATCCAAAACTTATGTTAGAAGTCCACAGGACCTCTGGTAGATGTCTGTAAGGCTTCTGGAATATTATGGAAAAAAATTACCATTCTCGAAAGTTCAGTTTTACGAGCTCGTTTCCTGTGTTAATGGCACGATACCTCAAAATGGAGAGTGGTAAGTTACTTCGTTCTTGATAGCTTTCAACCTATAAATTGGTAGCTGGAGCAGAGCGTGGATGTTGTTGGATGATGATGTTTTAAAAGATTTTAGACCATCTCCCTCCCCCTGCGTGGACAATCATGCATTGAAATTTGTATGAAGCGTGGACATTCACTGACCCCCTCCCCCCCCTAAGCCGTCCACTTGGTATATGGACAGCCCCTAGATGCACCATACCATATATAAAGGTCAAAATTCAGTGTGACTCGATTGTCCAAAATCCATCATACCCTCCAAGGTGCATTACTCCCCGCTTTAACCTTGTTAAACTGACCATACTCCTTGAAAAACGAGAGAACCTTTCCGCAGCCATATGTAGCCCTTCGACGACGACGACGACGGACGGACGGACGGCCACCCAATCCAATTACATCATTCGACCAAAGGAGGAACAAGCAATAAACGAGTCGAAGAAAAATTTACGCACGAGCCCATTTCCGAGTCACCACCTGTTGAGCGTTGAGCACGGGCAGGCAAAAAAACGACCGAAAAAGTAAAAAGATAAGAATTCCAACACAACACGCCGGAAGGACTCCGCCTGAACAACGTTGTTGAACGGTCGGCGATGATGTAAATGAGCAAAAATTCACACGCACTTTCTTCGCTCTCCCCTACTGGTAAACAATGAAAAAATATACCTATATGCGACCAGCTGATGCGCCCGAAAAAAAAATTGGGCGCACGTGCTTTCTTCGATTACACAATACCGCGCGCCGCCGAACGAACAATTGCAGCTACAGACCATCAGGCCCTAGCCGTCGTGGTATCCTTGCTCGCAGTGGAGGAGCATCGAACTTCACTCCTTCGACGGCGGATTGACGGGTTAATTGCAATCAAGATTATTGACCTTCATTTCGAGGGCTGGAGGGACCCGGCTGGACGCAGCGATCGTGTGCTTCGTGAGCCGTTCCTGGAAGGGTCCGAAAATGCGAAAAAAAATATATAAAACTAAACGAGTGCAGTGACCGGTCGGTTGCGGTTCGCGGATCCGATGCTACTTTTGAACAGTCAGCGGCGCTCTATTGCGATTCCCAGGAAACAGGGACGGTTCGTTTGGCAATTTGCGTTCCCCGCGTTGCTCCAGTTCGGCGCTCGCAATCGCGTCTCTAAGATTCGCGCGCTGTCTCTAAATCTAGCCCCGGAGGTCACACCCTGACACAGCTTCACACACACACACACACCCACACGACGATGATGACGGCGGCGGTGGTGAAGGACTAGGCGAGGCCTCGATTTCAACCGTCGTAGGTACGTATCCGAAGCGAAGATTATACTTTATTATCTCGTCAGTAATCTTCTTTTCGCACAACGTTGACCCCAGCCAGTCAGTGTGCGCTCGACGGCTTTAATTCGTGTGGTCGTCTTGAACTATTCGGGATAAATCTAGCCGCTGTGGGGGGAGGGGATGGCGGGGGTGGCCGGAGCAAGCAGAGCGATGCAATGAAATTGATCCCCTTCGGTTGTCGTCCGCGTGGTGCAGTATCGGGTGGGCAAGGGGTCTCACGTTCCGCGGACGACGACGACGACGACGACGGGACGAGAGGCTCTGGACCCTGGCGAAAATCGTGCGTTAAATTTTATCTCACGACTTGGTTGCGCGAAGCGCAGAAATCGATTTTGTGCTATATTTTTGCTGGGCTCTGTCTGCCAACCACCCGCTCACTCGATAGGAAATGCCCTCTGGGAAATGAGCTGGTTAATGGGCTTGAAATAGTTTTCTCCACTTTTTTTATTCGTATTTTCGTTCGTCGTATCGTCTGCAGCGGAAGGATGGGACACGGCCAATGAGATCGACTCAAAAGTGAGTGGATAATAACTCAAAATAGCAAAAACGTAGGTCACTTGTAGACTGAGAGAGAATAGCATTTGCCTCCGCTTTTCCTCAAAAATGGGCTCGAATTTGAGGGAAATTGAGGAACATTTTTCTCAGTCTAGGTGTTTACTAATATGTGAAACCTGTCTCGATTTTCCTCACATTAGAAAAGTTTTTCCTGGAAAATCTAGAAAATTTTTACTCAGTCTATGAGTAACCTAAATTTGAGTTGCTTTAATTGGTCGTGAAGATGCAGGCCGTGCGTTTTTCAGTTTCCTTAAGCGAGATGGTTGGTGGACGATGGGGTGGGGATCGCGAGGGATTGGGATCGCCATAGTTCACCGTCGGTAGGAGGAAGGGAGTTTGGATGAGGGCTCGTTTAATGCGCTGACATCAATTGCGATGTAACAATCAGAGCAATGGACTCGACTTGGCGTATCAAGCTGTCAGTAGTAGAGGGATGTGATTGTTGTAGGCTTCGAGGAGGATGGCGTGCGTGTTTTTGGATTAGTTGTTTCCGTGGGAGCAATTTAGTCGAGGCAGCTATTTTTATCTTCCAGGAAAAGCTTGACGATTCTCTAGCCAAAATTAGAGATATCAAGTTGAACAGTTGAGCCTTGCTGCACATTATTTGCACTGGATCAGAAGTTCAATTTTGGCAAGGAGCCTGAACATTTAGTGTTGTCAAAATAAAATGATTTTTTAATTTGATTAATTATTATGAATTCATATATTATGGTTCAAAATAATTATTTCAGACATCTCTCGGTTGCCTCCAGGGAAGAGGACAATTTAAAAATGTACAGTGGTCCAGAAGCCGGTATGCGATATTAACGATCTTATTTATAAAAATGCCCTTTTCAATTACTTATTACTCAGCATGTGGCAGTTACTCATAAGTGTCGTATGAAATTAATTTAGTATGTACATCAGATAACTTAATGTTGCCATAGCAAGACTAAAAATAATAAACTCCAAGTTGAGTCAAAATCGATAATGGAAGTGCTCATGATATAAATGACAAACTTATACGCGTTTAAAACCTAACACCTTTTCGTGACTTCCTGACCTTTCGTGACTTAACACCTTTTCGTCTGAATCTATTTGCAAGCCGGTGTTACTGCTACCTAAAGCTACCTTCTCAGTGCTGAATATTACTAGGAAATGTTCTACCTTGTTTGATTCTTATTCCTCTTTTATTTTTGTTTGGACCCTACCAGAGGTAATCCTGCTTGGATATCGATCAGGGAAATTCTTCTTCGATCCTTCGGATTATTATAGTAATCTGCTTTGAAGTCGATTTGTAGAAACTCCTGCCGCCATGGCGCTTAAACGCAAAAGAGAAGGACAATCGTATGATCCCCCTTCTGATGAAATTCATTTGAGCACTCAATTTGATATGCTCACGGATGATGAGAATGATTCATCATCCAGGCAAAAATCCCAGAAAAAGGTCCCCCCCCCTATTGTGATAACCACTTCCGATTTCAATGCTTGTCGCAAGGAACTTTTGATTTTCGTACAATTCAAGTTTTCAGTTCAAACTGGCCGTGTATTGGCTGAAACCTTGAACAGATTCAAACGTCTTCTCCAGAATCTTTCACTTACGACACCATAACTGAACGTATGTTTAAGGTTGTCTTGAAAGGTCTGCCCAATGGTGAAAAACTAGATCAAATCAAAAATAAATTGACAAAATAACTTGGATTTGAGCCACTCCAAGTAATCAAATTGAGATTGAAATCACGTCCAGATTTGAATGAAGATTCGGAGGAGGTTTCGGAGGAAGATTTTAAGAAAGATCTGGAGGAAGATATGGAGAAATATTGGGAGAAAGAGGAAGATTTGGACGAAAAGGTGATTTGGAGGAAGATTTGGAGAAAGATTTGAAGGAAGATTTTGTGGAAGATTTGGAGGATGATTTGAAGGAAAATTTAAAGGACGATTTGAAGGAAGATTTGAAGGAAAATTTGAAGGAAGATTTGAAGGATGATTTGGAGGAAGATTTGGAGAAAGATTTGGGCGAAGATTTTGAGGGAGATTTGGACGAAGATTTAAAAGAAGATAGGTAAGAAGATTTGCAGGAATATTTGGAAGAAGGAAGATTGGGAGGAAGATTTGGTAGTAGATTTTGAGGAAGATTTGGATGAAGCTTTGGAAGAAAATTTGGAGGAAGATCTGGATGAAATTTTGGAGGAAGATGTGGATGAAGGTTAGAGGAAGATTTAGACGAAGATTTAAAGGAAGATTTTGAGGAAGATTTTTACGAAGATTTGGTGGAAGATTTGGAGGAAGATTTAGGGAATTATTTAGAGGAAGATTTGAAGGAAAATCTGAAGGAAGATTTGTAGGAATATTTGGAGGAAGATTTAGAGGAAGATTGGGGGGAAGATTTGGTAGTGGATTTGGAGGAAGATTTAAAGGAAGATTTAGAGGAAGATTTGGAGGATATGAAGGAAGATTTGGAGGAAGATTTGTAGGATGATTTTGAAGAAGATTTGGATGAAACTTTGGAGGGAAATTTGGAGGAAGATCTGGATGAAATTTTGGAGGAAGATGTGGATGAAGGTTAGAGGAGGATTTAGATGAAGATTTAAAGGAATATTTTGAGGAAGATTTGAACGAAGATTTGTTGGAAGATTTGGAGGAAGATTTGGAGGAAGATTTGGAGGAAGATTTGGAGGAAGATTTGGAGGAAGATTTGGAGGAAGATTTTGCGGATGATTTGAAGGAAAATTTGAAGGAAGATTTGAAGGAAGATTTGAAGGAAGATTTGAAGGAAAATTTGAAGAAAGATTTGGACGAAGATTTGGAGGAAGATTTGGACGAAGATTTAGAGAAAGATAGATAGGAAGATTTGTAAGAAAATTTGGGGTATATTTAGTGGAAAATTTGAAGAAAAATTAGGAGGAAGATTTGAAGGAAGATTTGAAGAAAGATTTGGACGAAGATTTGGAGGATGATTTGGAGGAAGATTTGCAGGAAGATTTGGATGAAAATTTAGAGGAAGATAGGTAGGAAGATTTTTAGGAAGATTTGGAGGTAGATTTGGTGGAAGATTTTGAGGAAGATTGGAAGAAAGTTTTGTAGGGATATTTGGAGGAAGATTTAGAGGAAGATTGGGGAGAAGATTTGGTAGTAGATTTGGAGGAAGATTTAAAGGAAGATTTAGAGGAAGATTTGGAGGATATGGAGGAAGATTTGGAGGAAGATTTGTAGGATGATTTTGAAGAAGATTTGGATGAAACTTTGGAGGGAAATTTGGAGGAAAATCTGGATGAAATTTTGGAGGAAGATGTGGATGAAGGTTAGAGGAGGATTTAGATGAAGATTTAAAGGAAGATTTTGAGGAAGATTTGAACGAAGATTTGTTGGAAGATTTGTTGGAAGATTTGGAGGAAGATTTGGAGGAAGATTTGGAGGAAGATTTTGCGGATGATTTGAAGGAAAATTTGAAGGAAGATTTGAAGGAAGATTTGAAGAAAGATTTGGACGAAGATTTTTAGGAAGATTTGGACGAAGATTTAGAGGAAGATTTGGAGGAAGATTTGTAAGAAAATTTGGGGTATATTTAGTGGAAAATTTGAAGAAAAATTAGGAGGAAGATTTGAAGGAAGATTTGAAGAAAGATTTGGACGAAGATTTGGAGGAAGATTTCGATGAAAATTTAGAGGAAGATTTGTAGGAAGATTTGTAGGAAGATTTGAAGGTAGATTTGGAGGAAGATTTTGAGGAAGATTGGAAGAAAGTTTTGGAGGAAGATTTGAAGGAAGATTTGGAGGAAGATTTGGAGGAAGATTTGGAGTATGATTGAGAGAAAGATTTAAAGGAAAATTGGGACGAAGAGGTGGACGAAGATTTGGAGGAAGATTTGGACGAAGATTCGGAGGATGATTTGGACGAAGATTTGGGGGAATATTTGGACGGAGATTTAGAGGAAGATTTGGTGGAAGATTTGGATGAAGTTTCGGAGGAAGATTTCGATGAAGATTTGGATGAAAATTTGGATGAGGTTTCGGAGGAAGATTTCGATGAAGATTTGGAGGAAGATATGGAGAAATATTGAGAAAAAGATTTAGAGGAAGATTTGGAGGATGATTGGGAGAAAGATTTAGAGGAAGATTTGGACGAAAAGGTGATTTGGAAGAAGATTTGTAGGAAAATTTGGAGAAAGATTTGGAGGAAGATTCGGAGGAAGATTTGGAGGAAGTTTTGGAGGAAGATTTGGTGGAAAATTTGGAGGAAGATTTTGCGGATGATTTGAAGGAAAATTTGAAGGAAGATTTGAAGGAAGATTTGAAGGAAGATTTGGAGGAAGATTTGAAGAAAGATTTGGACGAAGATTTGGAGGAAGATTTGGACGAAGATTTAGAGGAAGATAGATAGGAAGATTTTTAAGAAAATTTGGGGTATATTTAGAGGAAAATTTGAAGGAAAATTAGTAGGAAGATTTGGAGGAAGATTTGAAGAAAGATTTGGAGGAAGAATTGTAGGATGATTTGGAAGAAGATTTGGATGAAGCTTCGGAGGAAGATTTGGAGCATTTTAAAATCAGCATTTAATGGTGCAACACATTCTTGGTTAGTAGTTCAGCGTTTTGCTGTTTTAAAAACCATTTAAAGTCTGACGATAAAGTCAAAACGGGTCTGGTTTTAAAAATGATTTTATTGCAGCACTCTTTCCTTGTATAATACTAATGAGTTAGTCAACCATAAACTTGGTCGGTATTTTTTTTTATTGATGTCACGACAAAATACTCCATAAAGGTGTTTTATCATTATAAAAGCAATTTTAAAACCTTTCGGTTTCAAACGGGAACAAAAGGCATATATTGGTGTTTTTTGGTACCAATAATGTGTATTACAAAACTCCGTACTGTTTACAAATTAAACTAAAAATATGGATCCGCCTAGAGACAGAGATAAAATAAATCGATTGGAGCTTTTAAATACAGAATCACAAGGAAATGCCGAAGGATAGTCGAGTAATAGTACTAGCCATACTGTTGACGGAAGGGAAAAGGAATACAATTCCAGAAGTTCCTGGGAGGCCCAACAGCTCCGACTGAACCGGTCAACGATGACAGAACAGCCGACTGAGAAGAGTGAAGTGAATGCGGTTCACGAAGCACTGGAAGATGCTTAAAATTGATTGGAATACCAAAAATATTGTCAATGGCGTTTGCGTCACGTTCTGAATAAAAACAGACCAGACTTCTCCAGAAATTGCACTTCGATGATGATTCGAATAACATGCAACTGGGACTGCGGAAAACTGCCGACGGGAAACTTCAGAAGCTGTCAGTCAGCTGGAAATTAGCTGCCTTCGCAGCGGTTTGATTCGCCGAAAGGGTCAACTGTTTCAATAAATCCAAGCAAGCGCACATTAACTTCCTCGCATCATTCCACCTGTTCCAAGTTATGTAGATACACTTCCTGATTCACTGCTTCCGATTGATGAGCCCGGGCGATCCCTTATCGAGGATGCCACGCAACTTGTTGATCCAACGCTGGAGTAGAAACTCGGTACAATGATCGCACAAAAAATGATCGGTAGATAAACAAATTTTGACGTTTAACTTTGTCCAGGCAACTTTGCCACCATTAATGCCGTCATAAAACTAAATGGAATAGGATCAAGCAAAATACGTACGAATTATGCCAAATATGGACCTATGAACCAAATGATGGACACATACAACAAGCACTGCGACAACATTGACTTTACAATGACAAAATCAAATTAAAGCAATATTTGAATTCCTCACGTAACGTCAGCCAGTAATGGTTTTTTAATTGTTTTCAAGACCTTATAATTTATATAACAAAGACAAAATTGTATTAAATAGCGTTTGCAGATCACAATTTTAAGAGTGTTGTGAAATTTTTATTTCCCTTAAGATTGGATATCTTGACGGAAAAGTATTTATTTGCATGGTAGGCCGAGTTGAGGGGCTAGGCCTAGTTTACCTGCAGACTGAACCACATCTTCGGTTCTGGTGCTCTCAATTTGCCTTTATGACCACCTATCTCGGCTACGACTATCTATCCCCATCCTTACCTCGTACTCGTCTGAGATAACCGAAACTCGTCGCACTTTGCACCACGAAGACGACGACGACGGCGGCTGTAATAGTGCAAATTCCAGTTGTTTGTATGGATGCAATTTTCCAACATTATCCGGAAAGAATCGTTGCAAGGCTTTCGCTTTTTTACATGAACGTTTACTACCTTCCACCTTCCCCTCCACCGGATAAACGCCTACACCGCTATCAAATTGGACGAATATTGAGTGACGGTGGTTTCTGTGATTACCCGATCCTCAGCCCGCCGCGCCGTAGGGTGAATCAATTCTGTGATCGGTGAATGTCGGAGCGAATCCTCTCTGCTGATGGCTATTGCTGCACTGGTGGTGGATGAAGACGTTCCCCACTTTCAACTGCCGTCATCTGAAAATTACAGTGTTTAACGCGAAAAAAAAATCTAAATTACTATAGTTTTGGATTTCAATATTTATGTTTATTATTAAAATCATACACTTGCTGGCGGAGCTCAGGATTCGCGCGCTGGGGAAGGTCAGGTTTTCCCCGGACATATGTTGCAATGTGATGCACTAAAACGGGTCGTGATTCGTTTTTGTTCGTTTTTTTTTTTGCGGTTTGGGTGCGGCGGTAATAATGGGATTAAGTTCTCGGGGTACGCACGATCGATGGCGGGAAATTGCGGTTATGAAACTGTAGAAAAAAATCAGGACACTTCGCTTGTTCAGCTGGTTTACAAATCCGAGTTTATCGGTGTTCTTAAATAGTACTAAATATTAACAACCTGGTAATTGTTTCACTAGTTTAGAACGCAATATTTATCTCAAATAACTGAATCGAAAATGTCCGCGTCTACACCGTCACCACACAAGCTTTTGAATATGTGCTTCGCCAAAATGATCGATAAGGTACACTGCGACGGTCACATCTCGGCCCTGCAAAAAGAAAAAAAAAAAACGAAAAGCCAAATCGCAATAAGCTACAACATACCTGCCACTGCCGATCCCCTTGCCGAATGCAGCCGTGATGCTGTGATGGTAAAAATGTGAGACTTTTTGACGCTGACAAATGAACATCCCGGTATCAAAACACACCAACAGTAGCTGCAGCTGGGAAGAGTAGCAGTAGCCGAAAGCTGCATTCGAACGATGCGACGGCAAAAAGTCAGCTCCTGGAAAAATGGATGTGTCTTGCCCCTTTTCTCCACCGACCCCTACGCTTTCGTGTGACTGTCAAAGCTCCGACTGCTAGTCCATCACATCGAATCCCGGCTGCCAACAACGCAGTAACGAACGGTGGTGATCAGGTGCTATGGGGATAAGCCGCGGTGTGGTGGGGATGATAAATAAGTAGCCCTTTTGCCTCGAACCTAGCGGGGGAACGAGGTGGAGCAGGACGGAGGGCGTAAGTCATCAGCATTAGTTCGGTACAGCTTAATCCGGGGAGGAGGGCGTTTCCCGGGTGGAGCCGACGGTGGGTGCACAGAGTGTGTAATCCTTCTTGGTTTGAGCTTTTTTTGACAGCATCATCCAAACGAACCTTGAACGTGATTGAGGAAAAAGCACCGACCCGAGGCGTGATGGTTGGCGGAAAGTTTGGCCCGAAGGTGCATCCAGGAGGGTCACGGTGAGTCCGTTCGAGGATTTTTCGGAACAAAGTGGTCCGTTCTCCCTCACGAACCACTCGCAAATCAACGTCAGTCAGAGCCAGCGAGGGAGCTTCGATTCGAAGGACGCTTTCTTTCTTCTCCTGCCGGAATGACAGCAGCAGAGACGAAACGCGTTGTTCCATCCATCCAGCCAGCATAGGAAAAAGTATGATTTATGTTGCCTCTTTAGATGCGCTTTTTTGCATACACACGTCTTCTTGCACCACCATCATCATCATCATCATCATCGTTGATCGTCATCATCATCTGCTCCGTCATAATCAGCAGCAACGGTAATATGGTGCTGGCAAAAGCTACGGCGACATCAACCTCAGTGCCTCTCAGAGCGCTGGCCGGGAAGCGAAGCAACGGGAAGGAGACGGGAGCAATGGTTGAGGTTAGTTTTGCTCTGTAATGCACTTTTTCCTGCACCATTGCACTGTAACTCCGTTCGGCGGAAGACGTTCACAACCGTCGGAGGAGGAAGTTCACAATCGAGCATCAGCAGAAAAGAATTTATTGTTGCCTTTTGCTGAGTTATGCCTTCTCCTCTTGATGCCATACTGTGGGATTGCTTTCCCAAAAACAAACGTCTGGAATTCGTCATTTTTAGCGCTAATGGATGCTTTTTCAAAGCTTCCCGATTGATGTCTTTGAATTCGTAGCACCGGAATGGGAAAGGCAAAGTTCGACAAATCAGAGCAAGCCCACAGAATTGCGAACTATGCTGTCCACAATTTTGAATTCATATTTATTGTCGTTAATCAGATGTAGACCATTTTAAAACAAGTTACAAGTCATGTGTTAAAATTATGATTAGAATTAAAGTACTGCTTTAATCTGGTTTTTGTCATTATAAAATCAATAGTTGCACTATGTTTATTGTCATAATTTGATTTAGTGGACCAAATTTGGCATAATTTGTGCGAATGTGATTTATAGTAAATATATTTCGAGTTCGCAGCTGCCGAGAAGGTAAAGGGTGATACGGTCAAAATTTGGTCAAGGGAAAACGCGTGTAAATCGGTGAAATCGTTTATTTAAAAAATCAAATTAAATTTCTTTTTCAAGTTCAATTAGTATAAAATTCAGGAAAAATATTTAGTTAGGCTTCCGCTTTTCGAAATCCAAATTGCCGGGCCTTACGCTTGACCCCTGCCATCAGATTTTGTACAGCCACCTTGTCCACCTTCTTCGCCGCAGAAAGCCAGTTTGCCTTGAACTGCTGCTCGCCCTTAGCAGTTTTTTTGGTCTTCTTTAGGTTCCGCTTGACAATAGCCCAGTATTTCTCAATTGGGCGGAGCTCTGGCGTGTTGGGAGGGTTCTTGTCCTTAGGAACCACCTGCACGTTGTTGGCGGCGTACCACTCCATGGCCTTTTTACCGTAATGGCAAGATGCCAAATCCGGCCAAAACAGTACGGAACAACCGTGTTTCTTCAGGAAAGGCAGCAGACGTTTATTCAAACACTCTTTCACGTAAATTTCTTGGTTGACAGTCCCGGAAGCTATGAAAATGCTGCATTTCAAGCCACAGGTACAGATGGCTTGCCAAACCAGATATGTCTTTGCGAACTTTGACAGTTTCATGTGCTTGAAAACATCTGCTACCTTTCCCCTTCCTTTTGCCGTATAAAACTCCTGTCCCGGAAGCTGCTTGTAGTCGGCTTTGACGTAGGTTTCGTCGTCCATTACCACGC